GTGTATTTTATGATGTGATAATGGTACTGTTAAACTACGTGAGTAACACAACCAAAAGAAACAAATCTTCTGAATCATATTTGGTGTTCTGCTTTAAATAATCTCAGCACGTATTTATGTTTAGATATCTGCAGAGATGTTTGGCCTTCATCACACAGCTGTTCAAACTGTGATGGGAGGATGATGATTTGGGCCGTTTTGCAGCCACAGGACTCGATGAGTTGCCCATGCATCTTTGCATGCATCTAGAGTCACATTTGAAGCCATATGTCCAACATCTAAAGCTTGGCCAACATTGGCTCATATAACAGGGTCCAGTCTCAAAGTCCAGTCTCACCTGACTGAAATGCTTTAGTGGGATCTTAAGAGAGCTTTGCACAAGTGAAAGTCAACAAACTGTAAAGAAGAGTGGGCCACAGTGAAAGTCATGCAAGTCAACTCCAACTTATTACCTGTAAAGATGCTTCTACGAGCTGCATCTGTGACTGCACGGCCTCACAGGCAGACTCACAGCAACAGTGTAACCTGAGCGCACAGACGATTGTGTTTCACTCATCAATATTTTAATTTTAATCTAATTACTATAGTTAACATGAATGGTGTCAGACAGGAAGGCCGAGACAACCATTGCTGGGCTCTGCAGTTGTCCGATAGTCTTCAGTGCTGTTCCAACAGGTAGGTATGCAGGCTTTTCAAGAGAAACTAAACCTAAATGACATCAAACTTTACTCTTTCATTGCTGGTTCAACCAGTCCACTCACATCATCGGGTAACGTAATCTCACCATCCTGCAGATTCTTTTTATCGCCCGAGCAGAAGTTCAAGACGTAACATTCAGTCTGCACATGGACGCTCACCAACCCAGCCGGTCTGCAATGCTCTGCGCCCAAAGTAAAACACATTAGTAATATATAATATTCTCACTATAGTTTGTTTTCTTCTCAAGAACACCGTCTTTGGGTGAAGTGCATCTAGTTTGATCTTTGCACGTCCACATATTTGACTTAGTGTGATTCAGGCCAACAGTAGATTCATGTGGCCTTGTGCAACTTTACAAGTCAACCTTTAGGGAACTGATGTCAGACGATGCTCTGGCACAGACTGAACACTCTTCGTCACGTCTTATCTATAAAAGCAAACGAGAACATCTGGTTTACTGGCTCAGAGTTTTACCCATGGAGATCGAGAGGAGTTTGAAACATATCAGTAACATATTTGATTTAGCTGCACATTTACAGAGGAAGGACTTTTGGCTGAACAATGCCTGCTTTAGTCCTTTACAGACTGACATGCTGATCGTGAACTTCAGGCATCCAAATGAAGCTGATGCATTTCAGACTGGGAGGTAGATGCTACCCTCAGAAGGAGAGAGGAAACAGCTCAGTAAGCACCTCCTACACCTGCCACAGGAGGGTGTAGGGTCTGCAATGGCAACGTCCTGGAGCACCACCAAGTCCAGGGCAGCACCCACCACAGAGAGCACACCGAGTCACAACACCAGTCATCCCCTCAGTTACCACAGAGTTTGCTGTTTATCCTGTATGACCAAATCAACTGCAGCAATTCTAGCGAAGCAATCGAATTTAACCCTCCGCAGCATCCTCCTCGTAAGCTCTCAGCTCCTGCAGGAACACATTCAAAAGTGCATAAATTCAAAGGTCGTTTTCTCATGAACTTCCTGTCAACCCTGTAAGCT